TTGCTGTCTATATCAATATTGATCATGAGCAGACTACCTGAAAAGTACAATTATGGAGAACTGAAAACCTGAATGGACCTATAACACTGGGAAGCATCTTGTTCCTCAGAGTGGGCTACCTCCTCCCTCTGGAGCCTGGGATGGGGAGAAAGGCCAAGCCACAGGTAAACAAGGTAAACATTTGGGATGCTTCAGTTTTATTATATGTACAAGTGTGGGGAGCACATTATGCTTACATCAAAATAAACATGGCAATATTGTGGAACAGAATGCAAAATGAATGCAAATCTCTCAATATTACAAGGACATTTCGAGCTGGCGGCCATACCCACAGGGACCCTCACAGGCCATCCTTCATTTTAGAGGTTCTTCGTGGAACTGTCTGCAAAGTGCTCCTATAGTCTCAGGAAGCGATGACTTGCTAAATAAAAAGAAAGGTACTTCTGATGTGCAAGTTTTAATTCTAGATTAGAATGGATAAATTTCATGTCACATATGTAAATATGAATAATAGAAGTACCTTAAAGTACCTTCTAGATCACTGGTTCTTGTAGATTCTTTGGCTGGACTACAAATTGATATAGGGTAGATTAACAAGAAAAAATTTAATCATGTACATAATGATGGGAGTCCCACAAAATATGAGACTCAAAAGGGTCAGATGACTGAAGCTTATGAAGTATCCTGAGCTACAGAAAGGAACAGAGGCTTGGGGTTCCTGGGAGGCCAAGCATGGTGACACAAGTTGTGGGAAGGTGAGGGGAGGAATTGTACAGTTGTCTCATTGTCTTTATGCAGATAAAGTCTCCCAGGTAATAAAAGTTGTCTGGAGCAGCCCTCTTCATGACACAGATACTTCATTAATACAGATTTCCTTTATGGATATAAATTTCTTTTACAAAAGAATAGCTTTTCAGAACTACTTCTGTGTCTGCCATTTCTTAGAAAAGCCAGGTCAAAGTATTCCAAAGAAGTATATTTTGGGGTGGCATATTCCAGTCTCCTACAGTCATATTTTGGGGTGATGTGACCTGAACGTCAACTGGGAGCATCTGTCAATATCTGAGGACACTTTTGGTTGGCACGAATGGGGAGGAGGAGGTGGTGCTAACCTAGTGCTCAACATCTTATAAAGCACAGGACAGCCCCCCCATGACAAAGAATTTCCCAGCCTAATATGTCAATAGTGTGAGGTTAAGAACCCCCGCTTTAGACAATGTGTATAGACACACAGATGGAAAACAAGTGGCCTGAAGGTCCACGTCAGGCCTACGGATCAGAGCCCACAGGGGGCCTTGGAAGGCAGGCACATGTCTATCTGGACCAGGGCAGGAGACAGAAGGCAGCCTCTGGGAGCAGGAGTTCAGCTGGTTGCCATATCGGGGAAAGGAGAGGTTTAGAATTTGGGCCATGAATAGAGCTGCAATGTGGTCGTTGAAGACTTTTGTGGTGCTGTGGAAGTTGCTGCTATACATGTGCTCAGGGATATGCCATCTCCTCCAGAAACCTGCCTTCACCCTCCAAATGGGAGTGAACGTCCCCCCATTAGTGCTCAGGCTTTAGGTTTGAGGCCTTTATTATTTTATCCACTACTACATCCAGCCACTGTGCCCCAGAGTGGGCTGTAAGCTTCCCAAAGACAGGACTCCTGCATTTTCAAATACATCTTCTTGGTCCACAGGGCCATAGCACATAGCAATACCAATAAAATGGTTGCTGAGTTGCCATCAATACTTTATTCTCCCTCCAATATTAGAAATTCTGCAAGCATACATTTGCATAAAACATATAAAATGGGAAGAAAAAAGGATGCCATTTTCTATTTTCCTCTGGAAAGATGAGTTAGCAAAATCTATCTTCAAAGACCTGTTTATCGTTTTGTTCAGTGCTAATCACCTGTCTGACTGCTTCCCCCTTCTTTAACCTTTTTCATAGTTTCCAGTAGTAATGCAGTTCATCCTGAAATTTCACTGTTGCAGTTCATAAAAGGGTCCCAATCTTGGTTGATGTTTTTAACATACAAATGCCTATAATCAAAGCATAGAGCAAAGTTTGCCTAGCCTTTGCTATACAACTCAAAAACAATTTTTTTAAAGCTCTATCATCCATTGATTTGCTCATGGCATTTCCCTGTAAGAGGCAGTTTGACCCTGCTCAGCTTTTATTAAATAGTTACAACAAAAAAATGCATTGAAGCTTTCTCTTGGCTCTCCATATTCAAAATTAACCATTCTATAGAATGATTGAGAAGGAATCAAGCATTTTTGGAATAAAATGCAATTTTCCATATTAAAATATTCAGGGCAGGTTCAGTACTTTCCTATACTCTACATTCCTAAAAGGTAAGAAACTCATCTCCAGCAATCCAAATATCTTACACTCCACTTACAAAACAAATCAACGGGTTATTCTTTACCCTACGAAACTACTTATCAAAAGATTCAACCCAAGATTATTTTCATTCAGCAGTACCTACTCTTAAACCCATTTAAATTGAGATGGCATTTACACAGCTTTTTAGGAGCCAGAAGAACCTTCTAAGAGCTGAGGGTATGATGAATGGGCCCAACCCCTCAATTTTGCAAGGGAGGAAACTGAGACTCAGTAGGCAACACGAGCTCTCAAAGCTGCACAATGATAATAGCAGGGATTTATTAAGGGCTAGTGCCCCTCACACCCTCGCCACTTCCAGCATGTCCAGGCCACCATGACATCCTGCTTGGACTGGTGCAGGAGTCTCCCGAGTCCTGTGTTTACCCTCCCCCCTACCTACCACCCTCGTCCCACAGGCCACTCCCCACAGCAGGCAGAGGGATGCGCCTACGACAGAAGGCAAACTACATTACTCCTTTGCTCAGAAATGTCCAACGTCTTCCCACCTCCCCTGAGTAAAGCCAATCCTCACCACAGTGTATGAGGCCTGCTCGTTTCTAAATACCCATCTCTTCAGTCACTGCCCCAGCCCCAACACTGTCTTCGCATGCTCCACCTTGGGGACTTTGCCCTTGCAGTTCCCTCTGCCAGCCACCTCTTCCTCCATACAACTCCCTCCCTCCTCCTCCTTAGGTGCCTTCTCAAAAGACAGTTCACCGGAAGCTTCCCTGACCACCCTCTGTAAATAGCACCACCCCACCTTCTACCTCTCTCTCCCTCCTTCCCTGCTTTATCACTTTTCTTTTTCTTTTTTTTACACGCTCAAAGATGGTAGAGAGCAGACTACTCCAATAAGGAACAGTCACTTTTTTCTAACACTTTTACCATATTATATATATTATATATTTGTTTATTGACTGCCTTTCCCCACTAGAATGTAAGCTCAACAAAAAAGTCCTTCCTGGACCACCAGTGGCTGGTATATGGCAGGAACTCTGCACTTTTGCAGAACAAGTGTTTACCGTTCTAAGGAAGGTAAAGGAACCAATTTCTTTAATCCTCCCAATTACCTGAGAATAGACATCATCATCATCATCATCACTGTCGTCTCTGGTTCACAGATGAAGAAACTAAGGCACAGAGAAGTTTAGTAACTTTTGTAAGATCACCCAGCTAGTCAATAGTAGAGTCAGGATTTGAATCCGGGGCACTGGCTTTTTAACCACCATGATGTATCGGATGTATCGTGTCACTCTTACCTTAGCCAAATTCAAAGAACTACTGCACTTTAATGCTTCTTCCCTATACCAGACTGTCAACAATTTAGATATACTGAAGTATGCTTTCAAATGTCAATCATTTCCTATAACCACCTAATATTTTAAAATAATCAATACAGCGTGCTTTGGAGCTAAGACAGATTAACAAGAACGAAAATGTGAGCCACAACTGTGCTGCACTTCAGAGAACCACTTCCACAGAGGCTATGACTGGCTTACAGGCGTGTGCAGGTAATTCTCCCTGCTTGACTGAGATTACCACGATTAGCTCTGGTCCATAAAGGGAAAACTAAGACACAAAAGCCGCAGTGATATTCTAGGCCACACAACCAGTAACAGTGGCTGGAAGGGAGCCTCTGAGGGCCCCTCTGGGACCGCAGTAGGTCACACGCTCCCTGCTTATTAGTGTAGAACACCCTGGTGATTCACACAATGGAATGTTTAAGCCAAGGATGTCACCTAATAGAGGATGTGTTGATACAGCTTTATCTGAGAAATTACATAATAATCCTGAAGTAGAAATACCATAAAGGAATTTGTGCCTTGGAATAGAGGAGGGGTGTATCCCCTGGGAATTACTCTACAAAGGCTATCAGGAGATTTTCAGTGAGAAACTTACTATCCCAGAATGGGCAAGTGATTTGTGAAAAACAGGGCCCCAGTGGAGGCTCTTTGAGGACTGTCCCAGCGTCCAGTGCAATTTGGTAAGACAGCCAGACTCCAGCCCCAGAGAGCCTCCAGGGACCACCGACCAAATATTTATTTCTGCAAGCCTTGAGACTTTTCATTCTCTTTCTACCCCAGAGAACAGAATGAATCTTTGCTCCCACTTTGTTGGAGTTCTCTGAAAGAAATCACGCCAAGTCTCCTCTCTAGAAAACCACTCCCAGCCCACAGTCTTCCCTTGACCTCGCCTCCCGCCCTCCCACCTGCCTCCAGGACATGGCAGGAGGTTAATGGTTAGGAGGCTGGAAGGGAGGGATGGGGTGTCACAAGCACCTGTCACCTAGCAGGCCCGGCTCTCAAGTCCCCTGTCCCCCAGCCCTACCCACCCTCTCACCGTGAGCGCCCACAGGGCCCCCGCCCTCCCCGACTGGGACAGGCCCGTCCTTCCCGCCCCGGCCTCTCGCCACCGTCCAATGGCCGAGGGGCAGGGCAAGCTGAGCAAGCCGCGGCAGCCCAGCCGGGTCCCCGCCCTGTTCCCGGTTCCCGAGCCGGGCCCGGAGGCCTTTAAATGCCGCCCTGGGCCGACGCGGCGCGGCCCTCGCCACCTTTCCTCTTTGGGCGGCGGCGGCAGCAGGAGCAGCAGCGCCAGCAGCGCCAGCAGCACCAGCCGCGGTCCGGGTCCGGGCAGCAGCTGCCACCTTCGACCTCCGGGCCCACGCTGCCAAGCTCTGCCCCTCCCCCCCCGGGCTGTGCTTGCCAGGTCGGCGCCCGGGCCCCGGGCGTGCGTGTGCGCGCGTGCTCTTGTGTGCGCGCGCCCGCTCCAGCCTCGGACCCGCGCCCCCTGCCCGTGCACGACCGCCCCGGGATCCCCGCCCGCGCGCCGCGTCCTCCGCCGCCGTGCCGCCACTCGTGCACCCCGCCGCGCTGTGCAAGAAGATGGCGGGATCGGTGGCCGACAGTGATGCCGTTGTGGTGAGTGTGGCGGGGTGCACGCGAGGCGCCCCCTTCCCGCCGCCCCGCACGCCGCCGTCGGCGGCTCCCGCCGGGTTGGGACCAAGAGAAGCTGCAGGCCCAGCCTGGCGCCCCGCGCGCGCGAAGGCGCCCCAGTACCTGTTAGCAGGAGCCGGCTGTGCGCGGATTGGGGGTGGGGGGCAGGAGGGGCTCCCGTGTTGGAGGGCTCCAGGCTGGGGGAGGGTGTTTGGGGGCGGACGGCGGGCCGACAGCCCCCTCTGTGCCCTGCCACCGCCAGCCAGGTGTGTGCATTTTGCACATGTGAGTGTGCGCGTGGGTGAGTGTGTCCGGGGCGCTCGCCCGGCCACCGCCCCCAACATACCGGGGATTCCCCCTTGGAAGGTTTACGCCCAGGGCTCCCGAGAGAAGTTGAGCGCCACTTCAGCCACGTCCTGGAGGACAGGCCTGGGCCACAGCGGTTCCAGAAGCATTTGCAGTTGGAAAGGGGCCTGCCTTCTCCAGCACCTGGGCTCGGGCTCCCTGATGTGACTCGACCTTGATTTTGATCTGGATCTGAAGGGTCTGAGGATCCTCAGAGGCTTAGCTACTGTACTGGGTGGAAAGAACGGATTTTGCTGGGAGTTGGGGGGTAAGCGATTATTTAATGGGCTATGAAGAAGCATCATCTGCAGACACTGCCTGAGTGTATGTGAAACGCTGCCGGTTCCAGCAGATTTGTGTAGGTTCTTATACCACCCCCCAGAAAAGAGCCTATGGAAAGCCAATCTGTGTGCTTCTATTTTTAGAAACTAGATGATGGGCATTTAAACAACTCCTTGAGCTCTCCAGTTCAAGCCGACGTGTACTTCCCACGACTGGTAAATGATTTTGCTCTCTGTCTCAGCTGTACCCTCTTCCTTTCTAATTGCATTTTCTAATGGGTCAGGCCCTCAGGATGTGAGGGCTTGGCTCTTCCCTAACAGCCTGTAAACCTCTTGTTCCTTATCCAATCCTTTGCAGATAGTTCCATTTTGTGGGCACATTAAAGGTGGCATGAGACCAGGCAAGAAGGTGTTAGTGATGGGCATCGTAGACCTCAACCCAGAAAGGTAAGGCAGAGTGCTTGTCACCGAAGAACTGTCAGGCAGTGGCAGGGCCCTGCCCACTCCTGTTGTGGTTTAGTGCTCCTCCTCTTCCTCTACTGGTGGACAGTGTTGCTAGTTGGGAGTGCCAAGAAAGTACCATGTTCCCATGAAAAGAATGTGTATGAATCCTAGCCATCATTTCTCCAGACAGCTATTTATATCAGAGATTATAAATACAGGCCCACATTTTCTCTTTGACCCTTAGGAGGCCAAAGGACTTTTTTTTTTTTTTTTTTTTTTAAATGGTTTTGGAACATGGTGCTTGGAGTAAGAACTATCAATATAATTAAGAACTAAACTTAAGATATTATCTGAAATAGATTAGGACACAGATGTTTGGGTGATTTGGGGTATTTGAAATCTCTAGTTTTAGTCATTTTCAACTCCACCAAAGTTTTCACCAGAGCTGGCTTTAGGTAACAAAATAAACTGGTTTCTTGAATTACTTCTCCATAGTCTAACCTCTCTTGAAGAGAGTAGTGGTCCATTAAAAACGAGACAAACCCAGCAAAGAAGGAGGAAACCTGGGTCATGGGTCATTTTGAAATATTATATCCAACTCTGAATACATGAGACTATTTTCTTTTCAGCTTTGCAATCAGCTTGACCTGTGGTGACTCCGAAGATCCTCCAGCTGATGTGGCAATTGAACTCAAAGCCGTGTTCACAGACCGGCAGCTACTCAGAAATTCTTGCATATCCGGGGAAAGGGGTGAAGAACAGTCAGCAATCCCTTATTTTCCATTCATCCCAGACCAGCCATTCAGGGTGAGTACCTCGAATGCCTCAGCCCCAAGCCCTGGCAGGGCGATAATGTTCTGCTTATCTAGTGTGTGCCAAGAGCACTTTAAGCAGCCAGAATTTCTGCATGTCCAGGAAATTTGTCACCCAATGATGAAAAAGAAAAAAGATCAGAAAAGCTCTGTTTGCTGATATAAGTTAATACTTGTCATAGTAGCTCTTAGCTCTCTTTAGCCTATGCATTTAGTAAATAGACCCATATTTACATGTCCAGGGTTAAGAATAAATGCTTTTCTATGTTGTATCCAACATAGTAAGAGGCATATAATAGATACCTTCTTCCAAATATCTGACTAATAAATACTAAGTATCCACTTATTAAGTATTAATGCTTACTAATACTTACAGTAATAAGTAGCTCTAAACCTTATTTGTATGACGTTTTAAAGAATATAATGATTATCATTTCATTTTCTCTTGTTCTCTTTGCTAATGAGGCCATGTCTGTGTCCTTGTTTTCCCCTCTGGATTAATTAGCCTCAGTCTATTTCATGGTCACAGACTGTGGCTGATACATTCCTTCCTGTGGGTTTGGATGAATATAGAATTGCTCCCCACTATCTGGTGGCCAGGAAGCACAACCCAAACTTCTCATCCCATCAGGCAGCATTAGCAACACCTTCCTCAATGAAGGACAATGCCATATAAGAGATACAAGTAATGATGTGTCAAAAAGGATTTACTGTCAGCCCTAGTGATGAAATTGTCGCCATTACATCTTGTTAACATGACATCACAATAATGATGACTCAGTTAAAAGCTCCATGTTGCATATAAGCCCAATAAAACAGAACTACCCTTAACCTGTTGCTCTTCATCTAGAAATTTTCAAGGGTCTTATGAAGAAGTAATATCTCTCTTCCTGCAGTCTGAAGGGAAGATAAGAATCTATGACTTTTACATCAGCGATACAATTGAGATTGTTGCCCTTCTAATTATAGTCTAGGAAAGGCACCCCTAACCCATAATCCCTCCCTACCTCCTTCTCTGGTGTAGTAATGTCCTCTTAGGCTCCTCTGGGCTGGGACAGTTTCTTAATGATAAATCTTAATGCATAGCTCATGAGTGTGAGTAACCAGAGCTTCTGACTCCCAGGAGAAATATAAAACTCCCCAAAAACAAAATTGAAACGAAATAGGCCCTTCTTGATGATATAATTTTAGTAATAATATGAATTAAATGTGACTAACATCACATATGAAGTCTCTCCTTGCATGGTGAAAAACAGTGCTTTTAATACATACATCATAGCGCACTACCAGTAATTAAACTCTATGGTGAATTACTTAAGGAAAAGGGGGAGAAAAAGCTTTTACCTTATGGAATCAGTATTTTTGTTCACTAAGGAAGCTTTGTTAATTACACACTCTTGGTCCAGTGGTAATTACTGTGTAACTTCTCTCTGCCCCAGTGTTTACCATGTTTGAGTGTGTAGACTATTATTACAGTTCTGCCTGGTGAGGGGCTCCTCTGAAGGTGGTATAGAATTGTTCAGGGATGACAATAGAGACATTAAGTGCCATACGCACAATCTGTGCTACTTAGCGTCACTTCCTGGAGTGCAGGGAGAAGAGACAAATGTTAAAGCATAAGCAATTCTAAATCTCTAATGCATATTAAATAATGTAAAGCAATGGTTCTTAAAGTGTGTTGCCTGTTTTAGCAACATCAGCATTGCCTTGGCACTTGATGGAAATGCAGATTCTTAGACCTTGCCCTGGACCCACTGAATCAGAAATTTGGGGAATGGTGCCCAGCAATCTGTATTCTAATAAGTCCTGCATATGGTCCCAATGCATTATAATGTTGGAGAGCCACTGAAGATACGGCCTTTCTTTCTCTAAAACGAAGTATTATTTGTTTTCCCCAACAGGCTTCATTGAAATTGTGAATTGAGATAATATTTTGTTTTTTCCAGGTAGAAATTCTTTGTGAGCACCCACGTTTCAGAGTATTTGTGGATGGACACCAGCTTTTTGATTTTTACCATCGCATTCCAACGTTATCTGCAATCGACACCATAAAGATAAATGGGGACCTCCAGATCACCAAGCTTGGCTGACATTTAAACCACCTCTATTTCAATTAGGATCAGGTGCCACAACTATCTGACTGTCAGTCTGGAAGAAGTGTCCTAGCAAGATCTGGAGACTTAAAAATAAAACAAATGGCAAGCTTTACTGTCTCTTCTTCCTGTGCAGTTTAAACCCACAATGACAACTTCAACCGTGGATTGCCGTTGGGAAGCTCTGGGGACAAAGAAACCAAGCCATTATTCCCAGAACAAAGTAATACATTTTTGCTGGATTTCATTCAGACTAAACTAAAATGGATTTGTGATGATTTGTGATTTGGTAGCAAATTATTCTTCTTTTCAAAGCAAAGTGATATTTAGAAACAAAAGTGCTAAAGACACTAAAAAAAAAAAAAAAAAAAAAACAACGGTACACCGAAATCAACACATTTCTGCACTGAAGTGGAATTGTGTAGCACAACCAACATTTTAGTCAGGGTATTTACATAGAATGTAGGTTGTTCAAGGTTTGGTTTTTTTTTGTTTTTGTTTTTTTGCACAGCATAATGTTAATTCAGATTTTTGAAGCTTTCTTGTAGTTATTTATTTATACTCAGTGTATGTATTAGAGAATGAGCAATGTCTCAAGAACAGCAAGTTACAAACTTTTGAATGTACAAATATCTTAGTTCCAAGGGGGGAAATGACATATTACAACTATGAAACAGGTGAATTTCTACCTTAAAGAATTGAGTTCTATTCTCCATACCCCTAATCTTAGGATATCTTGATATAAATTGCTGTGAGTGCTTTTGGGAAAACTTTGAAGCATTTTGATAAAACTGCTTTCAAGTTATTGTTGATTATGTAAAATTCTATTTACATTGCTTTTCCTCCTTACTGTGAATTAGCACAGTATTGGCTTCCTTAAGACTACTTCTCCATAGATTTATATAATAGCTCATTAAGTTGGTATGAAATTAATTGAAGCATAAGAGGTGATTGCATAGATAATTTTTAAATGACTATTATGTAAACTTTTAGAAGAATAATATGAAAATGATTCTGGAATGCAGTGTAAAGCAGAAGCAAATTGCCGTGAATAACTTACTTGGAAGTAATTTATATCAACTTAAGCTGTTAGCTCATTGTATGACTTTTCTTATGTTACCCTCACCAATATCCCTAAGTAATGCCTTTGGAGCTTCAGAGTAGAAGATGCTTCCAACTGTGTTGGCTCTGAGGAGATAGTAGGACTAGATGGGATCCAGATGAGGAAATGATCCAGTTAGTTTATCTGAAAGGTTATCTTCCAGGACTCCAGGTCTTTGAGTCCAGCGATAGTGTGAATGCTTCCAATTAAGCTGTAGGAGTTTCCTTGCACTTGTAGGACCTATCAAACAATAGAGTGACTCCAGCAGGAGGCTGCAATAATGGAAATGTCACTGCAAGGCAAGGGATGATTGGAGTTCTGGGTACTGGACTTCACAAGCTGCATTGGCCCTGGAGAGAAGGACCGTTGGTATTGCCTTGGTCAGGTAGTGGGGAGAAGACAGGGGTGCTAGGGTGTGGGTGTATTTATATATATAATTTAGGTTTCATTTGTACAGCATACTATGTCTTGTAATGGCACTTCCTTGTCCTGCTTTGCTTTTGGGTTTTTTTTTTTTTTTTTTTTTTTACACAACATGCAGAGGCACTGAAAGTGGCCATGTCATTTTCATGTGTCAAGAATGTAGACAGTGTTTCAGTACCAAAGTCTAAGATAAACAAAGCAAACTAAAATTATGAATTTTTTATAGGTGATATATTTGGATTCTTCTCAACTTTGAAACTGTTTAGCACAGTTCCGTTGTGTTACATAAGAAGATACTTTGTCCAACAAGACCGGCTGTACACTGAAAAGCTTTATGTACCAGGTGACTTATTCAGCCATTCAGCCATTGGGGCTGTTCTGTGGCTCCAGGTATTTTCAGGCCTGTGATTAACTTCTCATGGCTTGTCACTAAAAAGCCACTAAATTCGGGTGTTTGTGGAGAGACTTAGAGGGCACCCTGAAATGTATTTGTAGGAGTTTTGATTCCACTTACAGTGGAAGACCTCCACGGGACTCCTTCAAGTGGCTAACCATTCCCACCCACTGCATAATTCAGCAGAAACTGGAGGAGCTGGGAGTGTAACTGATTGGAATTGACACTCTTGTTCTCTCCGCCTATCAGCTAACTCCTTAGCAGCCAAGCCCTAAGGCAGCTTAGTGTGAAAATGCAGTGTTAACCCTTTGTTTCTCTATGAGGTCAGTGGAAACCTCTTGGATAAGCCTATTGGGATTAATCTAAGTGACGTGATGATTTTGATTCAGATATAGCTGAATTAGTAGGGGGCTAATCCAACTGTACTAATCCTTAGCTATAAACTGAAAACAATGTTCACACCCTCTGCTCAGCCTCTGAGGTCGAAGGTGGAAATTTCAGGATAGAAAGTGCAATTTAAAGCTTCACAAGAAAATATTTTGGAATGTAAGGAGTTATTTCTGACCAGAGCCCTAGTTTTGCAATAACCAAAACCAAGGAGTATGAATAACAATCAGGCTCTGGGGGAATAAAAGGCAGGCTTTAGACAATCTGTCCGTTTCTACAGCAAAATTGAAGTGAATGTGTATTATCTGCTTAAAAGTTAATAGAAGTGACTTCTACTTTTTGGACTATCCCAGAATTGTTTTAAAATTATTTTTTTAAATTTTGAAACCCCATTTCAAATCTTGCCAACCTCGGTTCAAAACCTCCTGAGAGATCACTTTTAGAATGGATGATTTGTTAAAATGGCAAATCATTTCCTTTGTGTTAAAAATAAAATGTCTAGAAAGAAACAGCCCTGAGAGAAACAGCCTTGGCATTTTCCAGCGTTAATGTAGAAATATCGTCCCTATGATGACATATTTTCAAAGAAACACTTTCTTATTGACTGCGTGGTGTAAAATGTTGCTAAATGTGTTGTTACATTATGTCACTGCTGAAAGTTATTTGCACTATAATAAAGGGATTTTATACAAAATGGTTTCCAGTTTATAACATGCTAACTTCCAGACCAGGTATAAAGTACTTAGCTTAAACACGTGTTGTGGTAGTGATGCCTTACTTTCACACTCATGTTCCAAAACCGTTTTTTTCCTGCGTTTCCTACGTTGATAAAGGGAAGGAGAGTGTCTCAGAGGCCCTCAGAGACCTAGTAACTTAGGTTGTAGATGAAGTGGGTTCTTTTTCATTATAATTTGCATATAGCAAATTCACTTTTTTTGGTGTACAGTTCTATGAGTTTTAACACATGCGTAGATTCATATAATTACCATCTCAATCAGGATGCAGAATAATTCTGTCATCCCAGAAAATTCCCTTGTGGGGAACTTGTCGCCCATTCCTAACCCTAATTAGGCAACCATTGCATTATAATAAAGGAATTTTATACAAAATTCTGTTCTTCTTCCCTACAGTTTTGTATTTTCCTGAATGTCATAAAAGCCAGATCATACAATATTTAATCTTTAGGGGTTGGCTTCTTTCAATTTTCATCACGCATGTGAGATTCATCCATGTCGTGTATATCAGTAGTTTTTCCTACTGATGCATTTCATTGTATGAATATACCATAGTTTCTGTATCCATTCACCTATTGAAGAATGCAGTGGGTACTTAATAAATCAGTAAATACAGTCTTAGTGGAGTGTATATGCAATAGCAAAATTGCATTTCTCTTGCCTTCTCTTTCCTGTGGCTGGTTGTTGCTCCCTCTGTCAGAGCTTTTGCAGTTAAGAACAAGCAGAGAGAGGGCTGTTAAGGTGGAGACAATTTGCTGAGGCTGCTGGGCAGAGATAGGAGAGCTTCCCTCACCCCCTAGCCTTGCTAGGAAGGTCCCTTGGGTATGTGACTTTATACTTAACGATAGCATTTTGGATAAGATGACCTGGAAAATATCCATAATTGGAGCCTCTGAGTGCCACAAACCCTTTATTCATTCAACGGGTATTATTGAGCTGTGTCAATTCCTGTTCTAGGCATTTGGATCCATCAGCAAGTAAGAAAGACAAAGATCTCTAGTGGTTTTAAACTTCAGTGTGCTTAAGAATACCCCAGAAATCCTGCTTAAGAGGCAAATGTCCACCACCCACACCCACCCACACCCCCAGGAGATTCTGTTTCAGTAGGTCTGGAGTAGGGCCCAGGAGTTTGTATTTTTACAAAGACTCCTGGATGGCGTAGGTGGTCCTGGATCCCAGATTAAGCAACTCTGCCTTCGGAAACTCCTGAACAGTTGCAGAATCAAATTGTTGGTTGTACTGGCCTTGAGATTCTGAACTGTGGATTTTCTGTGAAAACTGCATTTCAACACAGGGGCATCCTGCTCTGCCAAAATTCTGCAACAGCCATTACGTGACAACTATATGTCATTGTCCCTGGCTTAACCTTCTCCTCTCCCCCCACTCCTGCCTCTACCTAAAAACTAAAACACTATAGTGAAAGAAAGTTTGTCTGTCAACTGAGTTTTGTAAAAATCCTCCTTAATTGGGTTGGTTTAGGACCCAGGTAGCACACTGACACCCATTTTAAGTAGTGAATGCCCCTAGCAAGATTTAGGTTCCAGGGGAGGCCTGTCTTCTTGGTAAGCGTTTCAATCAGTTATTCACCAGAGAATCACCAGGCTGGGGCCCAGTTGTTTGTGAGGCAAATACACGTGGTGGCTTATAACTTGCAAAGAGGCAAAGAACAAGTGGTAGTGGCCCAAATGAGCTTTCATGGCACTTTGGAAATGAATTTAGAGTCTTCCTTCCACAAGAAAATGCAACTGAGTATGTATACAATGCTACATGTTTGCCTCAAGCCACTTGCTTCCTAATCACCGCGGTAATTTCACAATGACATTTCCCTAACAAAAAAATCTCCTGCATAAGACAGAGAACTGTCTTGCAAAACATGTACTTCATCATAATTAATTAAATGGGTGTATCCAAGGTGCCGAAACAATACCCAACCTAGAGAGCAGAGAAAGAAATAGCCACTGACTCTTTCTCTTGCTTTGATACACCCTTCCAAATCCCAGGGAAAGACGGTGACTAGGTGAGCAAAACAGAGGGGAAGGAAGCTCGTTGTTTGATAGGACAACACAGACAGTCCCTAAATAATAGGCCCTGGGAAACGGGAGCCAGCCACAGCCTTGGAGATGATGTGGGGTTTTGGGGGCCTTCCAAGTTTT